ATCTCTAATTTTTCTCCACTTTCTTTTAAATGTATCATACCATCTTTAAAAAAAAAATTAAAGAGAATTGATGTAAGAAAATTTATTTTGAAGTTTATTTATTTTGATCATAGTATTTAAATTATATAATATTTAGATATTTAGTGTAAATTTTAAAGAAAAGATTGGGGCTCAAAGATAAAAATCCAAATCTCTAAGAAAATTATTTGGAGGGATGAAAGTAAGGTATAGATGGATGAAAGTAAAAAGTGAGGATCTTCATTCCGATTGGTCAAAAGCCATGCCTAATAGGCTTTCAAAAGGTTGTCTATAATCATAACAAAGATAAAAAGCTATATATCAAAATTTTATGATATTTGAATACTTATTTTGTGAAATATGAAAAAAATTACACACATATATATATGAAAACAAGGGTTTGAAGCTACTGCTAAAGTTTTGGCAATATTTCAAGATCCATAACAAATTTGCAATTGAAATTTCTTGTGGTAGTTTCTGAAAGTATATCAATATTTCATATAAATTTTTAGTTTATTTAAATAGTCTAATTATAGGATATGAGCTGTTGAAATTTGAGAAGATTTCACCTTAAGGATATATAAGATTTTAGAATATTTTTATTATATTTTGTATAATTTTTGGTACTTAGGACTTATGTATTAATATAATTGCCTATATAGGAACAATTTTATATATAAATTTGGTGCTTTTCTATCTTTTAACTTAATTGAGCAATAAGTCATAGCCAAAAGCCCAACTCTTTTTTAAGGCAAATTCTCTCTATTCTGACAATACTATTATATCACATGCACTTATATACTACGCCTTCTATTGATCTTGATTTTTGTCTTATTGATATTCTTAATGATTGATTTTTTTTTTAATTTTTACAAATTTTATTTATAAATCTTTCATCTCTTGTATGATTTCATCAATGTCTATTTCTTCTTCCTTTGATATAATCATTGAAGGTTGAATTATAGATGTAGAATGGGTAGTAGGTATTATTACCTTACATGCTTACAATGGTCTTTGAATACCTATATCTTTTTTCTTCTTCTTTTTTTAAGCAATCTTATTGCCTCTTCTACTTTCTTTTAATTTATTGCCAATTCTTTATCTTCTTCTTAATCTTCAAGCAAGATTTTCAGCTTTTCTTACAACTTTCCATGAGTTACTTGAAAAAAAAGCTCTACTTTACTTGGTTCCAATAATTGCCTCTCTTTCTTTAATAATTGAAAATATTACTTTTTAAACTCTTTTAATAATTTTGTTGCTAGAAGAACTTTCTTAGGTCTTTTAATCCATTCAAATAATGACTTATTTGCAATTTTATCATTATCTTCAAAGAAAAACTCATCCTTCAATGTTTGTAAATATTTCTGTCATAAACCTCTAAAATATCTAATTATGGATTTTATTTGATTTCTTATCTTTGATGCAGTAATCAATTCAAATAATTGAACCATCTCCTTCTTTCAAACACGCTTCAACTCCATCTTCTTTACATAACATCTTAAATATTTTGTGATATTCTTCCCTTTGAATTGATTAATCTTATCAACAACCACTTGTAATGCTTTGTTTTTCATATCCTCTTTACAATCTTTAACTTGTTGTTGCATGGATATGACAAAAGCCTCAAACATACTTGTGGAATTGGCATTAAAATACATACCTTGTCTTTTACTTGTAGCTCCACTTCCAACTCTACTTGAAGCACTATGAAAATCCTTTCTTTCAATTCTTATGCCTTACTTCTTTATAATTTAAATAAACTAAAAAATGATTCTAAGCACCTTTCTCCTCAAGCATTTCATGTTGCCGTATTACATGAAGTCTTGCTAGACAATGCATCAAGTACCTGGATGTGAAAGATAGAGGAGAAATTGCAATAACAAGATCTTAACAACTCTAATAGAATCCTAAATAAATTCCAATTAAACCTTAATAATACTAATCAAGCTTTAATCAAATCCAAAAGAAATTCTAAAGAAATCATAAAGAAATAATAATTAGATCTTAAAGAAATCCTTAAAAAATTCAAAAGAAATATTAGAAAAATCTTAAATAAAACTTAAATAAATCCTAACCAAATCGTATTTTAATTCTAATTGAAACCTTAATGGATCTTAACTAAATTTTAGATTAAATCATAACTAAATCCTAAACTAAATCTTAACCAAAATCTAACCAATTCAAACCAACCCTAAGGTAGATTAGAACCCCAATATCTATTGATTAAATTATTGATCATGCTTAAAAATTTATAAACCTCTCAATTTTTTAATTAAAAAAAAGTACAACAAATTTGAAGATAATTTCACTTACCAAATGGAAGAAAATTCCTAAAATCCACTCATGTATTGGCTAACCTCCTACTGCAATCTAAATATTAAACTTCTAGTACCAATATCTTATTTTTGAGCCATTGAATTTCTCCAAAATTTTACTTAAATTTTTGAAAATCAAGTCTAGTCTCCATACAAAAAAAAAAAAAAAAAAAAAAAATCACTTCAATCTATTTGACTTATTGCTAAAGATCTTTAAAATATTCACTAGCTCTCAAACTTCAATTTCTAAGACCTCAATCCATAGAAACCTTTACATACTTCGATCTAATTGTTTGATTGACCTCAAAATTTGCATACACATTTAAAACTAGTACACCAACACTCTGTCCAAAATTTAGCAATATACATATGATAAAACTCAAGAAATCCTCAAATATGTAAACATAGTTTTATTTCTGAAAATCTAAACCAACCAAGAACATTATTAACTTTGAGAATCTCTCCAAAATTGAGTATTAACTCGATTGACATAAATCCAACGCCCAAAAATCTCTTTGCAAGTCTGCTCTCAATTTTGCTCTCCAATCTACCAAAGAATCCTAGAATCGCCGTAGGTGCATAGTTTTGTGCCTCAAGATCTGATTTTGACCTAAATTGACAATTGGTCCTCTCTCAGTATCAATATTTGATAATTTGAGGTAATTTTTACTCAAACCTATTGGTAACTTCTTTCTAAACATGTCTATATTGATTACTTATCTTATTTACTTTGATTTGAGGCATTTATGTTTCTACAAAGCAAATAGAAGAGTCTTCTGTAAAAGGCAACATTAAGATTGAATCTTTCATTACCTTCCTATCATTTATCTTTGTTTTTCTAATACAACTTTCTATTAGGCTCTTCTATAACAACATTTATGTTTTCATTTTTCACCATATACTTATGTTACTACTCAACAATGTCAAATTTAATAATTATGTCATATTATGTGTATTCTTGCTTGAGAATGCACTAGGCACTTAGCTATTGAAGGTTAGTAGAAATGCAACAACAATCCTATCAAGTCTAATAGAATCTTAAATAAACTTTTAGTAAACTTTAATAATCCTAATCAAACTTTGATCAATTCAAAATAAATTTAAGAAAAGTTATAAAAGTAATACAAAGAAGTCCTAAACTAATTTTTAAAAATAATAATAAGCAATCTTAAAGAAATATAAAAATAAATCTTTAAAGAAACAGCAATAATTTTAAAGAAATACTAGAAATAAAAACTTTTAAAGAAAAAAAAACCCTTCAAAACACAAAAACCAATAGACAAGAAACAAAATTTCTTTATAAGCACATAAAAATATCAATATTTACAGACAACTAAAAGCCATAATGTTTCATCATGTTGTTTTCAAGATAAAAACAGAACAACATCATGGTTAATGCCAAAGTAGCCAGAAATCAAAAAGAATGCAACAGACAATGCACCTCAAAAAATTTGTATAAAAACTTATCAGCAACCCTCGTCCTGATCATCATCAAATAACGCCAACTACAAGACACCATGACAGAGATGGTGGCTACTGCAACAAAGAGACTCCGTGGGAAGCGAAATCTCAGCTTTGAACAAGGAAAGAATGGCTACAGAGCCAGAGCAAAAATCAAAATCCAAGTACAGACACACGTAATCGTGTTTGAACACATGTTTTTGTGATCCTCCTGCACTCAATTGTCGTGTTTTTAATCTGGTCGTTGATCAGCCGAACTATCCATTTGTCTTCGACTTGGGTTGGTTTTGTTGGTGAATGTGCTAGTCGGTGCTAATCAGAAGAAGTTCCGGGAGAGTTCCAGCAGATCGAAGTCATTGGTTTCGGTGGATAACTAAATCTGTTTCTGTGGAGATCGATAGAAAGCTACTCGTGATCAGATAGAGTTACCAGCTCGAGGATTTCACAGATAGCTGATTTCTAGATAGCTGGGTTCTCGAGTGTTTCTCACTAAGAGCATGTCCATGCAGAGCAGGACGAAGGCCATGAAGATCACCACTGCGCACGCAATCCATATTGCACGCCTGTAGCATCAGTTTGCCCTAATATTACAGATCAGTAAAGCAAAATCGGTTATGCTGGTCTTCACAGCATTCTGAAAGCTTCCGTTCACTTTTAGGAAGTGGGGCAAAAGTGTTGCTAGAATTCGACTTGCAGTTTTGAAAGTTTTGCATACACATGCAGAGATGCAGATAAGGCGTAGAGCTTCAGGAAGCCAGGAATCGCTAAATCAAACATGGCATCGTCTCTTCAGTAATGAAACAAGAAAACAACCTAGAGGAAGAACACAACAGTCGTCGACCTGAGGAAAATTATTGTTCGTGTTCTAGGTTTCGAGGCCTCTCATTAAAGTTTTCCACCTATTTACCACCGTACAAGCCCCTTGATTTTGTCCTCACATTAAGCTGTGAGCTTGTAATTCAACGAAACGGAACGAAATTAACGACGAATAACGACACAATTCTAAATCAGAAGGAACAGGAAATAAACCTCACCGCTATATTGTGTGGATTTTTACTTCTCACAATCGTTATTTAGGAGAAACCTATACCTGTCTCATTTTCTTTAGTACTGTAATAAAAACTGAAGTTTGTGTCCCAAAATCAGACTTGTAAATTAGTAACCTAAGTCTCTCGGTGATTCGTTTCAATTTTTGGGCTATTGAACTAAAATTAATAATAATTTATTACTCAGTACAACAATTTTACATTCGTTTATCCGCTTTTGTATTATAATTCTACTGTAATCATGCTTCGCTGCACGAGACGCAGGTTTTGGTGGCACTAACTGCAGTCTCAGCTTGTGACAAATTTAAATTTACACAGAAGCTAGGTCACTACTCGTGAGCTCAAACACGAATGATGACACTCCTTCAACAAAGCAGTGGTATTGTCATTCTCGCTTCTTGACCTAAATTCAGCGCAGGAAGAATAGTCTGTCACATCCAAAAATGAATGACAAGCGATGATTACATTAAATTGAATGAATTTAGAGTCTAAAGATCACTGAATTCTAGTGATGTCCTGAGTTGAGTACATGTACATTGCCAACTGCAGCCAGCAAATTCTATTTAGGTGTTCATTGAACACCATGGGCTTCAAAAAACAAGTGGCTGGCGAGGGTGTCTCTCAAATAAATTCCTTCCGGGTGAACCGACATCACACTCTGTTGCCTGGGTAAGCAAAGTGAGCACGCTGTCAGTGCACAAGCCAACCGAGTTGCGAACTTACACTGCTTTCAATGAATTAGGTCATCGTGGTACAATATTAGCTTGAACTTTGCAGGCACCCCACATCCTCTCAAACAAAACTTTTCTTCAAATCACGACTGCGACAGTTCCACTTCTCTACAGTTCATAACTACTTAATTAAAGAATAATTCTAAGAACCCTACAAAATTATGAAAGATGCTTTTAGATATCATTCCACGACAATTCAAATCAGAAGAGCAGGATGAGAGGGCCACGTGTCCTTGCTAATTAGTCTAACTTGAACAGTCTGCAGGAATCAGTGTGAAAAAGAGCGAGAAAGACCTGTAATTTTCATCGTGGTGACCAAAGAGGGCGATTCCATCTTCGAGGTCGTCACCTTTGTCAATCATGATGTTATGTAACAAGCAGCAACAAAGGATCAAGTGAGGGAGCTTCTTCAAATCCGGCCGCCACATTGTCTTGTGCAGTATACGCCATGCTCCCTTTAACCGCGCGAAGGCAACCTCCACCGACATACGAGCACATACATGCTTGTAGTTAAAATTGTCCTGAATGCTGGGCACGCCGCTCACGTCAGATGTGTAGGGTGTGATCAACCAAGGTAGAAGTGGGTAGCCCTCGTCCCCAACGATGTACTCTCTTAATGGAAACCCCTGAACCAGCGAAAACACCCAATTGATTCATGAGGTTTTTCGATCTACAAAGACAACAGGCTGAGCTCTTGGTTTATCAACTACAATTTTGTACACTAGTGCAAAATAAACTATGCCTGTACGGCCCTCTTAGATACTACAACTCTCCCCCAAGTCGAAGGCTCGGTTAGAAATGACACAAATGACAAAAAGTAATTCCTTAGGATGAATATAACTAACACTACAGCATTATCTTGTGAGCAGCATTAATCTAGACAGAGAAGGCTTACATGCAGAAATTGAACAGGGCCACTCAAGATTTCCCCAATCTCACACCGTCTATACAATCCCGAGCTCCGAAGAGCACCTGAATCCGTCACAGAACCTGACAATCCAGTGAACACATCCCGAATGCGCATCTCACTGTCTACCACAGCTTGCACCACCATGCTGTAGTTCTGTTCACGGTCGAACCACTCTGCTGTAGAATCCCCAACCTGCAAAATCACAAAAAAATCACTTCGAGAAATTCTAAAGGGACTCATACTAAGTAAGATACGGAAAGTAGACCCTACAAAAAACTGTATAAGACTGGCTGATTAAATTATCTCAACAGCCATGCTCGACAATCAAGTTGCAAGTTGACTGTTCATCTTCTAATAACTGTAAGAAGACATATCTGCATGAGAAATCATGACATTAAAAAAGATGATTCTTCTGCGCTTTTCCTTTTCCTTTTTACAATTCACAATCATAGGCAGGCAAGCAAGCGACCATTAGAGAGACGAACCGTGAGCAAAGTGAGGGCAACACTAACCTGGAGTTCCATCACAATGTGCGTGACATCTACAGCGCCACAGCAATTGGGCAATCCGTGAACCTTCCGAAACCCTTCCTTCACGCGCTCCATTTCTTCACCTTTCGGCCAGTGCATGTGATGCATCGCCCGCTTCTCCATAGCCTTCACAAACTTCCAAGTGATCTTGCACACGGTCGATGTCCCCACTCCAAACATCTCTCCAATTATTGTGTGCGCGAACCCAGATGCAAGTCGTCGCAATGCGATGGCCACCTGTTTCTGCACGGGTATGAACCTTCCTTCAATGCTCATGAAATTGGTCGGAGTGGCCGACTCCAGATCGGGTTTCACTAGTGAGCAGATATATTCAAAGGTCGACTGTGAAACCCTAAAATTCGAGACCCATTTCCCGGGGTCATTATCGTCCGAGGCACAGAACTCGTCCCACCAATTCGCAGTTCTGGACTGCAAAACGTAGTCTCCTAAACGCGCGATAGCCTCATCGTCTGCCATGGAAGCAATCAAGGCCGGCATGTAGGAATCATCCTCCTCCTCGTGTTTCCTTTTCCCTACTCTGCTCTGGGTAGCGGTGTCGCCACCCACACTACTCCCCGTCAAGCTCACAGCTCCCGAAATGAACTGCAGGGCCACATTCACGGCTGCAGCCGAGGCTGCGAGCGCTCCAAACACCACTTGATTCTCCATGAGACAGAAAAAAAAACTCCCCTCCCCGGTCGTCCCCACCACAGGAAACCCCGCAACGAAGACACCCCCAGTTTAAACCCACTCTACATGCTCCAGCAGCCATTCCATAGCGTCACGCATTGCTCAGTCTTTGCTGCTAAACACCGCCCCCGGCAACACAGCTCAACCTTCGCCGGAAACCCATACACACACCCCGCAGTGGAAACGAAAATAGTTACCGTCCTGGCAAACCCCAACCATGTATTGCTCAATTCTCGGCGACGTATTCTACACAACTGCGAGGCTCGCCATATACTCTTCTTCGTACCGATGCGTGAAACTCCTCCGTTAAACTAAGATCCGAAGCCTCTGCGCATGCTAGGCCTTAAGAGATTTTGGGTTTTTGGTTTTGTGGGTAACAGTTGGACCGTGGATGTCAGACAAACGTCAAAGCTGTTGAGGGAATTGGTGACAGCGAGTGAGATTTGCGTGGAGTTTGAAGGGGAATGAATACGCGATGAGCATTTGTCGAGGTGAGCGTGCTCATCGTCTTCTCGGAGTCTGCGGCGGAGGGAGGGAAGGAGGGGCCCTGCTGAGTCACGTCCTAGCTGGACATCCGACGTGGCATGGACCCCTCGGTGGTGGAGCTGTTCCTGAAAAGAAACGTAACATGTCGAGATTAAAGATCCAAACTGTTGAGAGCAGACACTCTCCATAATATTTTTTGTAGTTTACAGTAAATATTGTAGCTACAATGTTTGGAATGTAGTGGGGAGAAATTATTTATCTTCTCCCCTTCTCTTTGTATATGTGAGATAACCATGTCAATATACTCTCTCTTGTGTGTGTGTGTGTGTTTTTGTACACATTACTTCTAACTACTCTGATGTCTCTCCAAACATTCTCAACACGTTATCAACACGATTGTTCTTATGTACTAGTCTTGGTTCTTAAAAACTTATGTGCACTTTATCCCTCACTTTTTCCTCATTTTTTTTCTTAACTTGTTGCTATTATTGTTGTGTTGTATTATGTTGTTTTGTTGTAATGTGTTGATGTGTTGGTGCTATGCTATGCTATTGTGTTGTTGTTGTATTGTTGCTATATTGTGTTCCGCCCTATCTTCTTATTAAGCTATATCCTATCTTAATATAATGTTGTTGCTACTACTATGCACTGTTGTATGGCATCTTGCCACTGATTGTCACATCTTACCGCTCTCTATTGCACCTTGCCACTAATTACTATACTTTACTACCATCTAATGCATCTTGCCGCCATCTACCGCACCATGTCATTGAATTGCCATCCCTTGCTTTAGTCCACTGCAAATCTTTCTTTTTATGGAAAAAAAAATCTCCTTAAGTTTTTAACATTTTTTATTTCAAGTTCAACTTTATCATTTTATTTGGTTTTACATTTTAAGGTGCATTTTATTCAACCTTTCAACTTGATTTTGTATTTTTTGATCACAAATTTATTTATAATGAGTGCTTCAATATCTTCAACAGCCTCTACTAGGTTTCCAACTATTACCACTACATCCCAACATTTTTAGACTCTTCAATTTCTATCATTGGCTATTGATGGAAATAATTATCTATAATGGGCAAAAATGGCAAAAAAAAATTTATTTGGAGAACAATTTTGAATTGTAATTTTGTTTAAAGAATCTTCTATTGTAAGCACTTCAATTCTTCTTGATATCTGTTAGAAAGCACTTCTTCTCCTTTGTCGTCATCTTATACCTACATTGCAATATCAATATTTAGAAATAGAAGATTTAATCAAGTTTTGGGAGAATCTTAAATCCAAGTTTGATAATCAAAAGACCATTTTCTTTCTACAAGCATGTCATGGTTAGACACATTCATGTATCTTGGATTTTTTAAATTTAAATGCTTTCAATAATAAAATATATTTTATTATCTCACAACTACGATTATATGGAAAAAGCATCTCTAAAGAAGAAATAATTGAAAAAACTCTCTCTATATTTCTTCTTCTATCTAGAGTATTTTCACAACAATATAAGAATATGAAATTTCATAGACATCTTGATCTCATGACCTATGTACTTACAACAAAACAAAATAAGCTACTCTTGCATAATGCGGAAGCTTATTCTATTAAAACCACAATTCTAGAATCTCATGCACTTAATATTTCAAACTCTAAGAAAAAATTATACAAACATGGAAAAAATGCTCATAAGTAGAAGGTTAGTCATGGTTGTGACCATTTCTATCCATGTAGAAAGAATAAATATTCTATAACTAATTATAGTAGAAAACAAAAATTAGAGATGTATTCTTGTTATAAATGTGGGATGATTGGACATTTGGCACATGTGTGCCGTACTTTAAAATACTTTGTTAAAATATTCCAAAAAAATAAGAAACTTTGAGCTAAGGCTTGTGAAGTTCATACCATTGATGCATCCATAGACTCAATTGGTATTGATGATTTAGAGGCTTATATGAATGACAAAACCTCTAATGATGAATCGAATGATGTACTCATTGATTCTATAACAACATATACTATCTTGCAGGGTAGATGATTTTTTATTGAAAAACCTTCAACTTGGCAAACTAGAAATTTGATAACTATGGTCGGAGCAAATGGGTTTAGTTTCTAAGATTGAACAATGATAGTAAAATTACCTATAGGCTCCATCATAAAATATTAAGATGCAATGTTTATACTTTCAGCACCTCAAAGTCTTATTAGCTACCAAGATGTGCATGGCAATGGTTATCACCTCTAAACCACAATTCTAGACAAGCAAGAAATTTTGATTCTTGTAGACAACTATAAAGTTGTAGAAAGAGCCTTTGCTGTGACAAACAATTTATACCACATTGCAATTTGGCCTCTTATTATATTTAATTTTGCATCATCTATCATAGAGAGTTGCATTTCTCTCTAGCATGGATGATTGGAACATCCATGATCTACATTATTTCAGAAGATAATTTAATATATAATTGGATATAATTTAAGACCTATAAATGCAAACACTATGGAATTATGTTGTGCATGTGCACTAGGTAAGATGATTGCTTGGCCTTCAATTTGAAAATTCTCAAGAGAGTTACCACCAATGCTTGAAAGATTGGATGGTCATATTTGTGGTCCTATTAATCGAATATCTAGACTATTTCATTATTTTTTAGTCCTTATTGATACATCATGCAAATAAATACATATTTCATTATTATCAACTCAAAACATAGTGTTTGCCAATCTTATATCTATACTTATTCATTTCTAAGCACATTTTCCTGATTATCCTATCAAAACATTGCATTCAGATAATGCAAAAGAATTTGCATCAAAGTCTTTTGAAGACTATTGTATTGTATCAAAGATTGAGTTGACATATCGTGTTTCATATGAACATGCTCAAAATAGACTTGTAGAGTCATTTATAAAGCATATACAACTCATTATCTAGCCACTCTTTTTTCATGTGAATTTACCTACATTTATATGGGATCATGGAGTTTTCCATGTTGCAGCATTAATATGCATCCGTCCTTCTTCTCTTGAAATTATTACACCATAAGAGCTTATTTCAAGTCATGTTCTAAATGTATCTCATCTATAGGTATTTGGTTATTGTGCTTGGATTCCAATATCAGAACCTTAATGGCGTATTCTTGGAGCTCATCAATAAAAGGCCATATATGTTGGTTTTGATTCATCAAGTATTATTCATATTATTGATCCATCAACTAATCCATTATTATGTGCGTATTTTTAAAATTATCGTTTTGAACAGAACGTATTTTCATTTCTTCAAAGAAGAACATTTAATCAATAAAAAAATATAGTACTTGTATTTGGAGCACCATAAACATTTGTAATGAATCTTGATCCTAGAACATCTTTAGCTGAAACTGAAATTGCCAAAATTTTGTATCTAAAATAGATTGTAGATAAAATACCTGATAGCTTCAATGATGTATCTCAGATTACAAGCATTCTAATTAATGGGGCTTAGAATGAACCTAATCAGATTACAATACCACTTAATAATATAATTCATGTTAAAACATCAAAAACTAAAAAGACTCGTGGACTAGATAAGCAACTACAAAAGAAGAAGGCTATAATATGTAGTGATTTTGGTATTGTTTTTGGAGAAGTTCTTACTAAATCTATGGGACCATCAATTAATGATGATATGTCCATTCAATTTATACCTTCACCTCATACAATAAAAAAATCTTGAAATTAAGAAGAATAAAATCAAATTGAGTATAGAATTATCTTTTCTATATTGGACTACAAACAACATTTGAAATAGACAATCTATTATAATAGATGAGTCATTTGCATTCATGATTTCAAAAGCTCTTTCTTACAAGAAAGAAGATCCTAAACCTCAAATCATCCAGGAAGCGATGCATCGCTCTAATTGGTTAAAATAGAAAACTACCATATATGAGGAGTATGCTTCTTTACATAAGAAGCAAGTCTTTGGTCCAATTGTAGATACTCTTATTTCTTGCCCTGTGGGATATAAGATGGTATTAGTATACAAAGAAGATGCTAAGGATCAAATAATCCACTATGAAGCTTGTATCATTGCCCAAGGATTTATCCAACAATTTAGCATTAATTATGAATCTACATATTTGCCAATCATGGATTCAATTATATTATGATATATTATTAAAATGGAAGTTTATGCTATCTTTGAGATGTGTCTCATGGATGTGGTAATTGCAAATTTGTATAGTTCTCTTAATGCAGTTATTTATATGAAAGTTTGACATAGTTCGAAAACATGAACTCTAAATGTATGTGCTCTAGGACAATATCATGGTATTAAATTATACAAGGCCTTGTATAATCTAAAATAATCTCGATACATATAATATCAACATCTATGAGATTGTTTAATTATAAATAAGTTTATAAGTATTCTATTAATTCTTTATTTATTTATTAAATGAGATAAAATTGATTTTTTTATCATTGATGTATATATTGATGATCTTAATCTAGTAGATATAAGATTTACATGCATTGTAGCTACTAATCTATTTATCCATAAGTTTGAGATGAAAATATTAGAAAAAATAACTTTTTGTATTGGACTTCAGATTATGCATCTATCATGGACATATACATGTAAGCCAATAATTACATGTATAAATAGATAGAAGTAAGTAAAAGTAGGTAAAAGTAAGTTAATTCTTTAGTATTTGGTATAAAAGCTTCCTAGAAGCTTTGTAGACGCTGCTTTGACTTTATAGGTGTCTTTAATTGACTTTTTGGAATTAGAAACGTGGTCAACAAGTTGGCCATGTGCCACACATGTTGTTAGCTTAAAGACCAAGCTAACTATGTGGCCCACACGTAGAAAAACTTGCCTTATACGTCAAAGCATGTATCCTACAAAGTCAATACATATTAGAGGTCCTATAGAACATTGTCACATAGCCTTTAATTAGATAGTATATATAGAGACAAGAGTCAAGCCCTCTTCACTCTTATCGACTTC